ATTAAATATGTGAAACTAGTCAAAAAGCTAAAGAGTAGCTGAAAAGATGAAATTATCACAGAAGCAGAAAGAGCATGTTTGCTGAATTAAATAATAAGAAACAGAAATTACCATAAAAATGTAATCAGTTACGATACAGCTAAAATTAGCTAGAAAAGTAGCTTAAAGGGCAAAAAAAACTGATAAAATTTGCTAAAAAAATTAGCTAGAGAAGTAGTTTAAAAGGCAAAAAATAGCTAAAATTAGTTAGAAAAGTAGCTGAAAGGGCAAAACAGCTGAAATTAGCTTAATAGTAGATGAAATTATCTAGAAAAGAATCTTAAAATGTGGAAAAATAGCAAAAAACTTAAGTAGCCTGAAATGAAAGGCTAAAACTACATGAAATTACTGTAACTTAAAAATAGCTAAAATTAGCTAGAAAATTGCTAAAAGGGCAAAAACAGCTAAAAGTAGCTTAAAAGGCAAAAAGCTAAAATATGCTAGAAAAGTAGCTTTAAAGGCAGAAAAATGGCTAAAATTAATGGAAAAAGGTTCAATCAAAAATAAGCTGAAGTTTGATAAAATAGGACAAAAACTGTGGGACAAGTTACGCACAAAWAACCCCGAAGACCTATAGCAACAATAAGAAACAAAAACAAATAAAATAAGAAACAAAAACAAAACAAATAAAGTTTTGTGTTTTGAAACCAGCTGCTGATTAAAGCTTAAAAAGGTGTTTTTGTTTCAGGACAGGAAGGTCATCATAAAGACCATGAAGTCGTACATGGTGAAGTTCTCCACGGTGAGTTCAGGTCTCTGAGCCGTAACACCGGACCCCCGCTTGTTGTTGGACTCACAGTTTGTGGTTCTCAGGGGGAGTTCGGTCACCTGGTTCTCCTGGCCATCTTCGACTGCGTGGACGACACCAAGCTGGTCCGGCAGGCCGTTCTGTCTGTAAGTGGTGTTAAAACAGATTACTACACACACACACACACACACCTGACCCGGTCTGCCCCCTCAGGAGATCCTGGCGTCTCTGGATGAAGTCATCAGTAACAAATACGGGAAGAAGGTCCTGCTGTACCTGCTGAGCCCCAGGGACCCGGCTCACCTGCTGCCAGAGATCATCAAGGTGTTGGAGGGAGGAGACGGAAACGCTCACAGGTACCACCTCGACTTGTAAACCCCGCCCCCCCAAAAAAAGTCTTTTATAAAATTAAAATGTTAATTTGTGGTCAGTAAAAAAGAGGCGGCAACACGAAGACAGGAGCTGCTGGAGGCCGTCTCCCCGGCGCTGCTGGACTACCTGTCCAACAACGCCGCCGCCATGGCGATGGACAAGGCCACCAGCGTCACCATCAGCGACATCCTGGCGTCGGCCTGCGGYGACCTGCGGCCCGCCATGACCGCCGTGGCTCAGCTGGCCAACCAGGAGCTGGTGCCAGGAGGGTTGAAAGGACAGGTGAGTCCATGTTTGAGGACAGGGGACGGGTGGGGACGGGGGTTTGGACTGGGACTGAACCGTGTCTGCTGCAGCTCCACATGGCCGAGCATCCAGCTGGACACCTGGTCCTGAAGTGGCTCATCGAGCAGGACGTCATGTTGGCACAGGCCGGGAAGGAAGGTAAGCCCCGAGTTCAGAAGCCATGACGGTCCCAGCTGGACGGTTCCAGCTGGACGTCCCCTGACGACGGGTTTGTCTCCGCAGAGCGCTTCAGCAGGATTCTGGTGGACACGGTCGGGACGAAGAAGATGATGAGCTGGGTGCAAGTGAACAGAGGAGCCATGGTGCTCTGCAGGTCCGTTCCACAAGTCCTTTTCTTAAAATCTCTTCATTTCAACTAGGGATGCAAACARTTAATCCACTTATGATTAATCCACAATTGTTTTGTGAGATTAAAATGCTTCCATTCGATTAATTCAAAACATCATTTAAACCTTATTTGTGTAGTTTAGCCTTCAACCAGCAGAGGGCGCAGCTGCTCTCAGCCTGGTCTAACTCTACCTCGGCCCTGTTGAGCTGAACAGAGCGCAGCGTCATAATTAAACGTTCAAATCTTGTTTAGTTTTATTTGCGACACAACAATAATAAAAATGGACTACACCAAACTGGAAGGATAAGTACAGAAGGCTGTACCGGTCCCTCCATCAGTGTGACAGAGAGCAGGACGACAGACCGGTAAGCTAACTTTAGCTAACTTTAGCTGCTTCTTGTTGAGTTTAACTCCCTGTGAAAGAACAAAACAATAAAATTTAGTCACTACAAATAGTTAACATGAAGTTAATCTCATCTGTGTGATGTAACCCGGCCAGTGTTTTACTTTTTTTTCTTTCCTTTGTTTCCAACTAGCACCCTAACAGATTCCTGTTTTAATAATGTGTGAGAAATCCACAATTTTCTTTTTATTCAGTCAGTGTTTAATACAGCTGGTACTATAAATTTAATAAAATATAATACTGTACTATTTTATTAAGGGTAAAAAATGAGCCCTTCATGTCATAGAAAAACCCTTGATTCAAGAGAAACGTCAGGTTTTTAGGAAAATGGCCGCTTATCGTCGAACATAGTCGATCGATCAACTTTAGATTAATCCATTAATGGATAACTTGCGTCCTTAATTTAAAGTCAGTTACCGTGTTGACACGGTCTACTGTTCTGGTTTCATTATGAGGGTCTACACACGTTACCATGCAGACCCCCAACAACCCTCAGAGGGTTTAYTTGGGACGACTCAGAAAATCCAAATGTCATCAGCAAACAAGAGAACCGGCTCAAGTCTCAGTTTGGTTAAATAAAACTTTAGGATTGCTGTCGGAGCTGGTTTTACTTCTTACAGACTCGAACATGTGCATCAAAACTCAAAGCTTAAAAATATTTAGAAGGATTAACAAAATTAGACCTTGAGTTTGACGTGATGTATGGTAAAGATCAAAATGAAGATATTTGTGTCTTTAACTGATCTGATTTATAAAACACTGAAGATTAAAATATACATATATCCACCACTGCTTTCTGACAATTCAAGAATTTATCAGTTTACTTTTTTTATACAGATTAAAACAGGACTGCCCCTCCCCCTCTCCTCTAAAAGTGTGGGAGTAACCATGGCAACCACCAGTTTTCCCTCCTGTTTTGTTATTGAGCTGCAGTCCTCAGGCTTGTCCAGTTGTTTAAAACAAAAGTTTTTGTTTGTTTGTTTTTAATGAACTGTTTTGTGTTTTCTGCTCAGTCTCCTGAACAGCTGTGAGAAATCTGCGGCGGCGGAGGTGAAGGAGGCGCTGACGTCCATCACACCGCAGCTCAACAAAATCAAGGACAACAAGGGAGTGGAAATCCTGCTGGAACATCTGAAAAAGTAGATTTAAAACAAAATGAACTGTGGACGCTGCGGAGGAAACTGGTCTTGTTTCAACCCACAGACCTGAAAACGTCTGAGGAACAAAAAACATTTCTGGATCTGTTTATAATGAAACGGTTGATAAATCTCCACAGAAACAACCATCGAAACCAGATTCTTCTACTTGTACAAATCGTGTTTATTATTTTGGTTTAGATTTCTTTATATCCTGTAAGAGTTTGGATCTGTAAACGTCACAAAAAAGTTAACAAATATTTGTAAAATCCACTAATGCTCAGTTTCTATAAACAATTAAAGGATGTTTTACAGTTAAAATGAGATTTCAGCTGTAAATTAAAATGATAAATTATGTGCTTGAAGCTTTTTTTAAATTATATTATGTTTGAACACACTCTGAATTTACTCATTTATTTAGGCAAAGTTTAGTTTTACCAACAATTTAGTGTTAAATCCTAGCATTTAAAAACTGTTTTTTTGTTTCAGTCTCAGAGGTAAATAACAGTAGACTGAGCCCCACCTGGGCAATGCCTCAAAGCTCGACCTGTTACAGATTATCTCTTTTCTATTTAATAAATAATTTTTTTCAAGGCTTCTTTAAAGATGCATTCAGTGACTAATGGAAAATTCACATTTTATTTATCATCAGGGATTAAAGATAATTTTCTAGCTAACATCCAGCACTAAATACTGACCATCAGTTMATCACAAAGCAAAATAAAATTAATTTACGAGGTAAAGTGAATGCAGTGTGATTGAGGATTTAGAGCTGATCTGGAGAACCGATGTTCTTTTCAAACCCAGGACCAGAAYGAGGACCTTTAGTTGTGACTTCATGGACCCAAAAAAGTCCAGTTTACAGTATCTCCACATTAGGATAAGTCCATGTGATCCAAGATCGACAACCAGCAAGCAACCAAAGAGAAACGTCCAACATTCTGGTWAAATGGTTGGAGGTAGAGTAGCCTTAAACTACAAGTTTTGTTGTATTCAGGCTCAAAGAGTTATTTTAATACCCTGGCAGTTCAGACTTGGGTCTCCTGCTGAAGACCTCCACAAAACGGTTGTCTTCTTCGGGCTGAACAGCATCGTCGCAGTAATCTGCRAACTTCTTGGCCGCCCTCTTGATGAAGCGAACCTTCCCGCGAGCCTTGCTGACCATGGCGTACTCGTGGGACTTGAGCTTGGTGTAGTAGTCTGAGAACTTGTTGTAGAGGATTGAGATGGGCATGCCGTTCAGGATGACGCCGAAGGAGATGCAGGCGAAGGCGAAGACGCGGCCCAGGTTGGTCTCTGGGAACATGTCGCCGTAGCCCACCGTGGAAATACTCACCTGTGGAACACAAAGAGTTACGGTGAGTTCATTGGAGGTAAAGACCTGGAACTAGATGTGGCTGTGGACTCACCGCRGCCCACCACCAGGCGTGGGGCATGGAGGTGAAGTTGGTGTTTGGGACATCGTGCTCCACGCTGTAAACCATGGCTGAAAACATGAAGATCCCCATGCCGATGAAGAGCAGCAAACAGCCGACCTGCAGAAACATCAGCCACACATCAATAAACTCATCTACTGTTCAAAGGCTTCACATTAAATTTAAATCAATAAAATTTACTTTGTTCCATTTCAGACGGTATGAACACAGAATGCTCTCATATAATTTGCAACACGATTATGAAAACTGGGTGGGATTGAAATAGACTCGTTACAAAAACAGTGGGTCTGAGTAGAAAAGACGAGCAAAGAATCTCAGATTAAGATCTTTGTTGGAAGAAATGGACCAAAGAGGAAAAGAAGCATCAAGTCTAAAAGCTCAGTTCTGTCAGGGAGGGAGTGATGGGTGATTCTGTGAATGGCTGGATGGATGGTATGACAGTTTGATGGGTGGTTGGATGGATGGATATATGTTGGATGGATGGTTCTCTGGATGATGGATGGTAAGACAGTTTGATGGGTGGTTGGATGGATGGATAGATAGATATTGGATGGTTGGTTAGAAGGTTAGATGTACGGATTGTAACTTAAGATATTTGGATGGGTGGTTAGCTGACTGGTAAAATGGTTGGATGGTTAGACAATTGGATGATGAATAAATGTTGCATGGATGRTTGGATGTTACATGGATGGTTGGACAGATGGATGTTGAAATAGATGTTTGATGGGTGGATGATAAGATGGTTTGATGAATAGTTGGATGGTTGAATGGATGGGTAGATAGATGTTTAGATGGTTAGATGGTTAGATGGATGGGTGGATGTTTAAATGGTTAGATAGATGATCAGATGGTTGGATGGTTAGATGTTGGATGGATGGTTAGATATTGGATGGATCAGTTGGTTGGATGTTGGATGGATGGTTAGATGTTGGATGGGTGGATGGATGTGTAGATAGTTGGTTGGATGTTGGATGGTTAGATATTGGATGGATAGTTAGATAGATGGTTAGATGATGGATTGTTGGTTAGATGATGGATGGTTGGGTGGTTGAGTGGATGGTTAGATGATGATTAGATGGATGGATGGATGGATGGTTAGATGATGATTAGATGGATGGATGGTTAGATGATGGATGGATGTTAGATGGATGGATGGTTAGATGGATGGATGGTTAGGTGATGGATGGATGGTTAGATGGATGGATGGTTAGATGGATGGATGGTCCCAAACAGAGAAAACAGAAATGTGATAAGGATGACTCTGTACTTTTGGACACCCCTCTTCATCCTTCATCGCTGTCAGACCATCTTTAAGTGCTCAGAGGAATAAATGTTCCAMAGCTGGAAAACTAAACTGGTTTAATTAGAACGTGTTGAAGAATAAAAGGAAAACAAGAAAAGTATTTGTTTCATTCTGACTGAAATCAATTCAAAGTATTTGTAAGAATCTTCATCTAAAGGTTCTGGATATTTGACACCAGGTGAAGTCGGACCTGCTGGTAGCACTGCCTCAGCGTAAACCCGAACGCTCTGAGGCCTGTCGAGTGACGAGCCAGCTTCAGGATCCTGAAGATCCTCATGAGACGCATGATCCTCAGAACCTGACCCACCTACGTAGAAAAACCACCAAAAGAAATCTCAGGAACACAACTGAGACCAAAACGTACCTGAAGTTAGCACGGGTTCTGCTTTTACCTTCCCGACACGCGCAACGGTCTCGATGTCCCCGGAGTGCCGGTGGACGTTCTCGTCATCGAAGCACTCCAGGATCATCTGCAGGTAGTGGGGCAGGATGGCGATCAGGTCCACCGTGTTCAGGACGCTTCGCCCAAAACACTTCAGGTCGGGAGTGGAAAACAGGCGCAGCAGGTACTCCAGGGTGAAGAAGGCGATGCAGAAGGTCTCCACGTTTTCCCCGTAGAACCTGCCGCTCGGCTGTCCGGAGGGCGTCTACAGCAGAAGGGTCTACTCAGTTCTGTAGAACTACAGGTCGATCGGGACACAGTGCTAGAACTCACCTTGTACTGCATTTCCTCCACGGTGTTGAGCGTCATGGCCACCAGCGACACCAGCACGAAGAGGGACGAGGCCACCGCCATAAGCTTGGCGGTGATGGAGGAGAACGGCTTCTCCATCAAATTCCAGATTCTTCTTCTGATCGGACCAAGGGTCATATGATCGTATACYGCCTCGTTCTCCTCCATCTCCAGCTGAAAACCATGAAGTGAAGATAAACAGGAGCAAAAACACATTTAATTTAGCAGAAATTAAAGTTTTATGATGTTGACTCTCGATTTGATTTGATTTGATTTATTTAACAGGAAAAGATWACTAAAAATCAAGCCTGACTCAGCATAATTGCTGTTTTACAGCAGGTTCCTGTTCTGCAGCACTAAAACACTCAGAATTACAGCATCACAATCACATCATTATACACCATAGACACAAAGACAAACAAGCATACCAAATTCAGGAAGGCAGCATTTGCAAAATAGGACATCTAAATATGAGCACAACAAAAAGTGTCCAGCAGATGGCAGACAAGATTCTTCTTAAAGGGCTGTAGTGTTAGTTACCAAATCATCTTTTAACAAACCCAGATTAAAGATGTAAAACATATTACTTTTCAAATAAAGTTTTAAGCATCTGACTAAATGTTAATATGACAACCCATTAAATAATACAAAGGACTGCAGAATCGCTGGTGGCTATGGTAACTCCCACCTTTTCTGCCAAACAGTGGGGGAAGGGGAACACCTGCTACAACTAAGAACGGCTGAGTCACTTGTTGCCATAGGAATTCCCGCCTTTTTAACAATCAGTAAAACAGCCTTACAACATGGGCATGTAAAAACGTTAGTTAAATTTAATAAAAATATGAAATATTGAGTACAGAAATCTTTTTAAACACCATCCAAATGAACATCGATATTTACTAACTTTTTGTGCCGTGTTTCTCTCGTCTACTTGGAAACAATGTTTTTGAAGAAAAATGTCACAGAAACTGATTTTTTTCTATAACATTCTTTTAAAATTGTACTGCATTTTCGCCAAAGGTTTGTGAGAATCTATTCAACTTATACCAGTTATCACTTCTATTAAGCAGTAGCGGGCAGTGTTGTACAAAGTACCTCAAAGTGATATTTGAGTTAAAGTACACGTATAATATAATAAAATTACTTTCGTAAAAGTTAAAGTCTCCTCTAAGAGTATTACTTAAGTAAAAGTCTTAATCAGATTTTTTTGTACTCAAGTATAAAAAGTAAATTTCTGACATAAAATATACTTAAGCATTAAAAGTAAAAGTATTGAGTAAAAATGGGCGATTAGGTTTTCCAAAATATATTCATTGGGAGGTGATCTGTCCAAATAAATATTTTTTTCTAAAAACATGCAGCTGTGATGGATTGTGTAAAAATTAATACAGTATCAGAATGGTACTGTATTATGGTACATTTATAATTCTCATCCTCCTCCAATTAAATTCACCCTATCCTGGATGCACAGTTTTTTAGGATGGCATTTTTTTAACACTRACAAGCTGAAACAAAGTAGGAGAAATGACTTTTTACTTCTTAAGTTGTTAAAAAATGTAAGGAGTAGAAAGTACAGATAATTGTGTAAAAATGTAAGGAGTAAAAGTAAAAAGTACGCTGAAAAATAATTACTCAAGTAAGGTACAGATTACTAAAATTTCTACTTAAGTACAGTAACAAAGTATTTGTACTTAGTTACTTTACAACTGGGCACATTGCAACATTTTACTACCTACTGGCCCGGTATCCACCTGTTAAATTTTTATTTTCCAGTTCAGTCAGTAACTTTGCGTTTTGTTTAAGCTTTTAATTTAAAATATTTTAAAACTACCTGTTCATATAAAGGCTGGTTTGTTTTGCTAAAATGTTTGTGAATTAGAATTTTGCAGTTTTTTTAAATGCTGTTAAAAATCACGATGGTGAATTATTAATTTTTCAGCACAAAACAAAGAGCTTCAAACAAAAAGACAAAGACGTCCACAGGATGGGTAATAGGTGCGCTTCAACAGTTATAAAACCAACATCTGTCCAAATCTGTGCCAAGAMAAAAAGCTTTTTCTCCTCCCCCATCTGTCAAGACGGTGGCGTGATTTATTATGTAGGTCAGAGACAGAAGCAGCAGATTACCGACAAAATCTGAGTCCAATCTGTTTCAGGTTTCATAGCAGCCCCTCAGTCTGCTTCACAACCAACCGAGACTTCGTTTTTTTATTTTAATCAGGTGTACCATCAGGTACTGTTCTGGTGCACAATCACAGATTGTGCACCAGAACAGTACCTGATGGTACACCTGGTGCACAATCTGTGATTTGGGTCTCCTCTGGAGGAGATTAAATAATCCACAACAGAAGGATTCAGTAGGAACCCCGGAGAACTYGGTAGATGACCCACCTCAGCCACCAGCTCCTTCTGCACCTTCAGCTGCTCGTTCAGCTCGTCCTGCCGCTCCTCGAAGGAGATCCGGCAGCAGCGCTGGCTGTACTTGATCCTGACCCCCCAGTAGTGGATCTCCTCCAGGAAGTTGTAGGGACACAGCTCGTCTTTAATGGACAACACTCCGGTTCTGTTGGACCCAAAGGAAACACGGTTCACTCCCTGAGGATGGTAAACCAGGTGCGTTTCGGCCCGACCTCACCTGTAGAAGTTGAAGATGTTGTGGAAGATTTTCGGGTCTCGGTCAAAGAAGAACTCGTTGCTTTGGACGACGTAGTCRTCACAAAGGTCCAGTTTCTTGTTGTGGTCTGTGTACGTGGCCAACCGCCCGATCCGGGTCTTTGGGTACCTGGCAGCTAACCTGTAGGGCAGGAAGTACACCTGGAGGAAACAAGCAGGGAAAACCTCAAGAAGTTTGTCCCGACGACGCCCCATCTGCTGAAAATTAAGCATTAAGCTTCTCCTACATCTCTCATACACAAAGTTATGAGGAAACTTTTACCAAGGTATTTTCTCATTACTTTTAATATCTTGACTGTGCGAAGTGAAAAGTGACACAATAAGTGAATGTTCAGACGAGTTCAAGTTGATTCATAAAAGACTATGCAATCATTTATTTATACAAATTGAACAAATCATAAGTACACTTGATTGTGGTTATTCCTATAAAAAGTGTCAAAGTTAAATGAGATAAAATCCGCGTCGGAATTTCAATTCACATCAACTCAGATTACTTATATAGAACAGTAAAACGTTAGTTCTGATGTTAACAACCAAACAATTTTACTGGCACTTTCAGCTTAAGTTTTGGCAAATTAAGAACAAGGAAAGGAGGAAAGTAAGGTTAGTAGGGTACTACTTTTACTTATTCAAAGTGTGGTCAACCGGATCAGCACGTCCCTTCTGCGCTTAGGAATCCACATGACACGTCACCCCGAACACGCTCAGCTTTACCTGGTGGTGGCTTCTTAAGGCACCCCTGGGTAGGAACTGTCTCACCTCCGATCAGTCAGGGAACTTTTATCGGCTCGTTTACTGGTCCTTGGCGAAAAATGTGTTTTCCAGGTAACTTTTCGTCTGTTTCAGTCCAAGCCAGAAAGATTCTAGCTGTACATCCGGTTCCTTCTTTCAAAATAAAATCTCCCCACGGGAGTTGAAAACACACTTAAAGGCTTGAAGCCTCGGGTGGGACAGCCGGCTGGCGTGCCGGGCCCCGGCCTTTAAGTCTTCCCTAGTTAGCTCATGGGCTACGACCTAAAAGCCAAACTGGCTTCTCCGGAGAGAAACTCGGCTTTCTTCATAGTTCAGAGTCAGGAAGAAGAGCGTGTCACTCAAAGGCGTCCGGGTTAGTAAAAGAAACGGACGAACTTTGGTTCCGCCCTCTGGCTTAGAGATGAGTCAGAGAAAGAAAGATAAAAGATTTGCCAAGGCACCAGCCCAAGGTTAAAATTCTGTGGCTGTTCACAACATGATATGATAACCTCTTTAGCTTTCTTCTGGCAGACTAAGAAAAATCACTGCGAAACATTTATGATGATTAATTAACATTTCTGTCTTATAATCAATTCTGAACCTTCTGTTAGTCCAGATAAATGAAAGATTTTCTCAAGAAAAATCCACAATTATATTACTGTGTTCACAGTAAAATAAAAACAGTGATTTACATAAAAACACAATGAAAACATTGTAATGAGATTCTCTGCGATTTTTTTATACCATTGTTAATCTTTAAGGTACTATAAAAGAGAAGAGGTGGTTCCACTTTTCTTGTGACAGTCATTATCATGATTTAACAAATGCATAAATATTCTTAGTTAAACAACAAATGAATCACGAACAGAAGAGATTGTTCTGTCCATTATCTGATTAAGAGAACTGAGGGGTTCTCTTCCACGGTTAGAATGACCTGTCATGGCCTAAATAGAGTTTAGTTTGTGACAGAGTTCCTGTCCTCTCGTCAGGCCTGTCCGAGGCAGTAAATCTTGTTTCTTCACTCGAGGTGACCCCTACACAGCTAACCTGTAGGGCAGGAAGTACACCTGGAGGAAACAAGCAGGGGAAACCTCAAGAAGTTTGTCCCGACGACGCCCCATCTGCTGAAAATTTGTTTCAATTAAATTTAAAAAGACGTCAATAAAATAAAACATCCATCCATCCATCCATTTTCTGTACACGCTTCTTCCTTTTCAGGGTTGCGTGGGTCACTGGTGCCCATATCCAGCAGTCACAGTGCGAGGGGCGGGGTACACCCTGGACAGGTCTCAGTCCATCACAGGGCCACACATAGAGACAAACGAGACAAACAACCACTCACTCTCTCACTCACACCTAGGGACAATTTTAGAGTTATCAATTAACCTAACAGTCATGTTTTTGGTCTGTGGGAGGAAGCCGGAGTACCCGGAGAGAACCCACGCATGCACGGAGAGAACATGCAAACTCTACCCAGAAAGGTCCCCGGACCGGGATTTGAACCGGTGACCTTCTTGCTGAGAGGCATCAGCTAAAATAAAATATAAACTAGTAAATATAAAATGTTTATTTTAGTCTAAAAACAGTTTATGTAGAATCAGTGCCAAAAATCTTTTTAAATAAAATAAGTGGACACTTTAAATCTGAAAAACCAAAAAATACACAATAAAAGTAAAAATGTTGGATATACATGACTGCATCTTAAATTTTGTATTAAAACTGAAATTGATAAAAAAAGTAAATATTTATTTTGTAAATATATTTCGCCTTCTGTTCTATTAATAAAATAGTTTTTTTATTTAAAAATTTAAAATTTTTAGAATAAAAATTTCTTTAGCTTCTTTACTTGCATCATCTCAGTCGTCTTAATCAGATCTGAGTAGTTCTTGTGTACTTCGCCTTTATGATCTGCTCCTCTCTACTTTTAGTTATTTGTTTTATTTTTCTAGATGTGTTAATTTATGAACAAATTTTTATTTTCGACTCCCCACATGTTTTTTTTTACCCTGGATAATTTTTGATTTTTTTGGCACTCCTGTGATTCCATAGAAATCCACAAGCATCTTTTTATCTCCCTACATAATCAAATCAAAACGTATGTTGTGAATGGATAAACGTGAGTTTTCATGTTTTAAATAAACGTACCGTTCCTCCGACGTTGATGTTCAGAGTTAAGTGTTTGTTCGGAGACAGCAGGACTCGAGACGGGGACACGGGCAGCCGGTCCTCCAGCTCCTCGCGTTCGTACTCGGCGTAGAGATCGTAGATGTCTCTGCTCAGGTCCTTCAAAAACAAAAACTGAATGTGACGGACTAAAAACAYAAAACCTGAACATTCTGCAGTTTTATGATTTTAAATAATTCAGTTTTATAATTTCTATAGCCTRGAGCAAATATTGGCAGCTTTGGGTCTCCGTAGAATATTCAATAATATTTAAGATTATTTCTTCTTTCTGCTTCCTTTCATTTCATTTATGACTTGTTCTTTTATTTAGATTGTTTTAAAATAAATGAATAAAAATATATTAAATAATAAAAAGCAGAAATACTCAATGATTGATGTAATAAGTCCTGAAAACAAAGCTTTGATAAAATAAACGTTCAGCTGAGTAAAGCAGTGAAGTAAGCGTCCGACCTGCATGGAGTTCCATGGTTTGATGAAGGTGCTGATCAGGTCCAGGTAATGGATCGGTTCCTGGACCTCCTGGATCTGGCTGCAGGGTTTGTAGCTGGAGAACAAACTCCTGCTCCGAGCCCTGAGGTGGGTCAGCATGGTCTGGGCTCAGAGCGGACCCACCGGGCCTGCACCAGAACTCATCCTGCGTCCGTCCGCCTGCGACGAGTGCTGGCAGAGGTCTGCTGGTGGAGAGGATCCGGGTGCTTAAAGTTTTAAACACTTATCCTCCGGCTCATCCCGTCATCGCTGCGTCTCAAACATCACAAAGCTGTTAAACTGGATCAGATCCTGTCTGAAATACTTTAAACACATTAAAGAACCGGGAGACGGAGAAATAAACTAAAACAAGACGAAAATTAAATTTAAATGGTCTCAATCAAACATAATCACTTTATTTTATTGGTCAGCTCTTATTAAGAAGCCCCGCCCACTTTACACACAACAGAGCTACAATAAAACTGATTCCATCAAACAGATTTAATCTTGTATTTCCATCAAACAGATTGAGTTTTTTCAGGGTGAATCAGATTAATTTCAGTTTAAAGAATGAGAGCAGTGATAACACACCAACAGGAACAATAAAACATCTGTGTTTAAGTTAAAACAACTTGAATCTGTTAGATTTGTGAGTTTTTGGTGGTTTTATCRGAGCAGATGTAAACGACCTCATAGTCATTCGGCTTTAATCCCAGTTTGACATTTCGTCCTGAAGCAGCAGATAAGTGGGGATTAATCCAGCTGCAGTTAAACGAGGATAATGAACGGATGAACTCAGCAGCTCCACGGCTCCGTTTATAAAATTATATTCAAATGTTTTTAAACTATTATAACTTTTTACAATAAATAGATTTAAACACGTCTGAACGCTGCCGTCAGCTTTTACTGACTTCACTGTAAACTTCACTGTAAACTTCACTGTAAACTTCACTGTAAACTTCACTGTAAACTTCACTGTAAACATTCAGATACTGAAGCCAGTGGTGGAAACAGTTGCCCTAAAGCACTAATAGGGGAACTAATTTCTTGATTAGTGCTTTAGGGCTTTTACTAATGTCTTAATTCATTAGTGGATTAGCACTTGCTAAATTTAWAAGCACTAATTGAGTTCTTTAAATTTTATTGATCAATGTTTTAACAGCTGAGGGTGAAAACTGTCAGACAGACCAGCTGCTTTTTAGTGCTTTAGAATTATGTAACTTTTGCTAAATTTTTTAGTGTTAGTGCTTTAGAATTATGTAACTTTTGCTAAATTTTTTAGTGTTAGTGCTTTAGAATTATGTAACTTT